TTTGAGTTGGTATCCAGCTGGAGGGCAAACTGTGCATGATCGTAGAACATTTACAGGCTTCCTTATAGTGGAAAAGGCTGCTGAGGAACCAAGAAAAGTCTCTGTTCACTGCCTGGAATTTTGCTCTAAATTTGAATGGTTAGCCTCTTAAAGTCTCAGATTTCTCCCTTAAAATTAAATATACTGGAGGGGCTGGAGAGGTGGCTTAGTGGTTAAGAGCACTGACTGCTCTTGTAGAGGACCCAGGTTCAATTCCCAGCACCCATTTGGCGGCTATGAACTGTCCTTAACACCAGTTCCTCAGCGGTGGAGAGCACTGACTGCTCTTGCAGAGGACCTGGGTTCGGTTCCTAGTACCCACATGGCAGCTGCAAACTGTCCTTAACTCCACTTCCAGGGGAATCCGAAGCCCTCTTCTGATGTCTGCAGCATTGCACGACATGGGTGCACTCACATACATGCAGGCAACACACTCATACATATAAAATAAAAATAATAAAATATTTTGAAAAATTAAATATACTGAAGACAAGCAGGCATGGCAGCACATGCCTGCAGTCCCAGCACTTGGGAGGTAGAGATGGGGAAATCAGAAGTTCAGGCTTATCTTGGCTACATAGTGAGTTCAAGGGTAGCCTGGGCTACATGAGACCCTGACTCAAAAACAAACCAAACAAAAAGATAAATATTACTAGGAACAGGGATAGGAGAAGTTTGGCTCACAGTGAGTCCCATTATTTTCAACTCCAGAGTAACATAAGAAATCTCCTGTACCTTTTAAAACTATTCTTTCTATTGTCTCAATAACAGATGTGTATATTCAAATACTATAAATTCCCTTTATTGTGATGTTTTGGCAGACAAGCCAAACATTCCTTTATACTATAAGATAATTAATTACAAGGGATTTTTTTTAAAGACTGCCTTTTGGAGCTGGAAAGGTGGGTCATTGGTTAAGAATACTTGCTGTTTTTCTAGAGGAGCTGAGTTTCGTTCCCAGCACACACATTAAGTGACCTACAACCAACTATAATTCCAACTGTAGGAGATCCAATGCTCTTTTCCAGCCTCTACAGATACTCACACACATGTGGCATACACACATATACATAGATAAAAATAAAATATTTTAAAAGGACTCTTTTTATCATAAAAGTAGTACAATGTTTACTTGTAAAAAAAATAGTTCCCAAATAGGGCTGGGGATATAGCTCAGTGAGAGAGTGCTTGCTTCACATGCATAAAGATCCTGAGTTTGATATTCTTTACTGAAAAATGTGAAATATCTGGTGACCAGGAATGGAGCAAAATTCAGGGCATCTAAGACATATATTACTTGAGATTAAGAGCAAAAAGTAGATCCTTTGAGCATCTATGTTTGGTTTAAATTTATTGTTGACCCCAAATAAGATCACACATCTGGTGTGAGAAGATCAAGAAAGAAGATCTCATTGCTTAGTCCTAACTGAGACATTTATATCAACTCCACCAGGGCTCAGAAAAGATCATGGAAGAGGGGGAGGAAAGAATGAAAAGAACTGGAGGATGGGGAGGAGTGCTGTGAAATGCTGTTTTCTTGATATGACATGGCTGTTGGACTCATGAACTCACTGAAGTCATGATCACCTACCTTCTCAAGACCCATACAAGACTAAGCCAACAAAATTGGTCAACATTTCAGCAAGCTTCACTAATTGGACACAGTGGGTTTCAAAAAAAGAAGGGGGAGGGGATGGAAAAATAACTCCAAGGTTAAGAGCATTTCTGCTCTTATGGAGGACCCAAGTTTGATTCTCAGCCACCCACATGGGGGCTCACAACTATCTGTAACTCCAGTTCCAGGGTATCTGATGTCCTCTTCTGGCCTCTGAGGATATTGAACAACACAGGTACATATATATAGATGCAGGCAAAACTCTCACACTCATAAAATGAAAGTAATTTTTTGAATATTTATTTTTATTTATGTGTATGAGTGTCTTGCCTGTATGTTAGTATACCCATGTCATGCAATGCCTGAAGAGGCCAGAAGAAGGCACTGGATCCTCTGGAACTGGAGTTACAGACAGTTGTGAGCCACCATGTAGGTGCTAGGATGTGAACCTGGGTCCTCTGTAAGAATAGCCAGTGCACACCTTTAATCCCAGCATTCACTAGGCCTAAGCAGGTGAATCATTATGAGATCGAGGCCAGCCTGATCTACATAGCAAGTTCCAGACAAGCTAGGGCTACAGGGAGTTCTAGTCTAAAATATACCAAAAGAGAAAAGGAGGGGAGAGAGACAGCATGGGGGTGGACATGAAAATGGGAGGTTGATGCATTTGGGGGGTTTCTTGGGAGAGTAGGAGGAGGGACTTGGGGATGGATATGCTCAAGATACATTGTATATGTGTATAAAATTGCCAAAGATTACATTTAAAAATCCTTTAAAAACATAGGAGAAGCTCATTACCCTTCTACTTTTGGTATTAAATCAAACATGTAAATATATCACAAGGGCTTTAATCCTGTTTTTATATTTCTTCACTTTAAAAAATCAAAAGTCCCTAAGAATGAAAATTTGAGAGTCTCTCTTGATGTAGAAAGACCCTAGTGACATCAAAACACAGCCTTTTCGAAGTTTTTGCCTCAGAATCACTCCTGTTGCAAAAGAAGTAGTTACAATTGCAAAATGTCCTGTTTAGGGCTGGAAAGCCCCATTCTTTGCCCCATTCTGCTGTAGGTGCTCTAAGGAGTTTCCTGATGAGTCACAACATAGTCAAGGATCCCAGGAACCTGCAGCATCCTGCATGCCACACAACCTCACCATCTCTCCGACCAGATGGAAGACACTCTCTGGCTAAGGGGGTAGATAGTAGCCTTTCAAAATCTCGTATAGGTGCTGGACCCAGGAAGACCTCAGTCAACACTCTTCTAATAACTTGAGAATGTCCCCACATCTGCAATCAGCCAGACGCAGTAGTGTGTGTGTGCCTGGAATACCCATGCTCCTATCAGGAGATTGGAGGTCAAGAGAGGAGAAACCCCAGAAGCTAGAGGGCCAGCTAGGTGGCATACACAGTGTCGATGAGATACTGTCTCAAAGCAAGGAGGAAGACAAAGACCAACACCTGAGGTTATCCTCTGACTGTGTGTGTGCACTCACATACAAACATACCACACACACACACACACACACACACACGGAGAGAGAGAGAGAGACAGAGAGAGACAGAGACAGAGAGACAGAGAATAGTTAGAAGAAAAAAAACAATAAGCAGTATATTTGGAATAAATGCTGCTGAAGGGTTAACTGTATTATCTACAAAGTAACTTTAAGCCAAAACTCTAATGGCAAGGACAGAAGTCTAAACCAAGATGTGCATATAATACCAACAAAGTAATGGAAATATCAGAGTTTCTTAACCACTAGTGAAATAATTGACTTAGAAAAGGATCATCAATGAATCTTACAGCCACTGAATGAAAGATTATATGTCACACTCTCATGCCTGTCAGTAATTAGAAAGATGTCCTTTACATTAGAGAGATTGTGAGGGTGTTTAGATGCTACCTGAAGCCTAATTTTAAATTGAGGGGTATTCTACTTGAAATACACCTTTTAAAACTCAATGTCTTAAATAAAGTAAGTGTGAAAATGTTACATAGAAAAGGAGAGTATTGAGACAAGACAGTTTAAAGCAAAGCATAGTCTCTAACCCTGGAACTGGGAAATAAAAGCTAAAAAGGCCACTATTGGGATAAAGGGGCAAATTTCAAAGACTGATTATTAAGTTGTTACCTTTCTTGAGTGTGAAAATTTTACTGTTGTTATTTCGGGGAGTGGAGAGATGGCTCCCCAGGTTAAATGCCTGCCACATAAGCATAAGGGCCTGAGTTCAGATCTTTAGCATCCACTCGAAAAGCTGGGCACCAAAGCACATGCCTGTAGTCTCAGCACTTGGAAAACTGGAGACAAGAATCCTGGGGTATTGCAGGTCACCCAGGCTAGCCAAATTGGTGAGCTCCAGGTTCAGGTGAGAAACTGTCTTAAATTAATTAACTAATAAGAAAGAAAGAAAAAAGGAAAGATGGAAAGTGATAGAGGAAGACACACAATGTCAATCTCTGGCCTCTATACATGCACACATGTGCACCCACATGCACACATGCACTTGCACACACAGGAACACATATACCACAAATACATATTCAATAAAATAAAATAGCATCTCATTAGTAGTATTTCGGGTATTGTTCTAGCTTGGTTTCTGATGTTGTGATAAACAACATGATTTGAAACAACTTGGGAGAGGAAAGGGCTTATTCCTCTTATTACAGTCCATCATTGAAGGAAGCCAAGGCAGGAGCTCGAGGCAGGAGCTTGAAGAAACCACAGAGGACCCCTGCTTTATTGGCTTGCTTCCAGGCACACGTTGGACTACCTTTATTTTTGATTAATTAACTAATTAATTATATTTTATGTGTATGAGTGCTTTGTCTAGATATATGTAAGTACTCCATGTTGTGCAATGCCTGTCGAGAAGAGGGTATTAGATCCCCTGGAACTGGAGTTACAGTTCTTAGCCACAATGTGGCTTCTGGGAACTGAACCCAGGTTCTTTGCAAGAGCAACCAGTGCCCTTGACTGTTGAACCATCTCTCCAGCCCTCAGTTACCTTTCGTATACAGCCTAGGCCTACCTAGGGATGGATCCACCCACAGTGTGCTGGGCCCTCCTGCATCAACTACCAAATCAAGGAAATGCCCCAAAGGCATACTCACAGTCCAATCTAATGGAGGAAATTCTTCAGTTGAGACTCCCTCTTCCCAGGTGTATCAATTTGACAACCAACACAGATATCTAGGATATTTAGGATGATATATGTTTTCAATTTATTTCCAGATGGTTAAGAAAAAAGTGAACAGCAGTAAATATTGTGAAACAGAAAGAAATAATTGATGGATATAGTTAAAGGGTATGTAATTTTCCCTAGTGTTATCTCTCTACTTTCCTATAGGAAAAGCAAAGATTTTCAAAATCAAAGATGAAGATAAAAATCAGGATTTACACAGGGCTGAAACAGGAAAGTGAAGTAGAAGTCAGCTCTCCCAATGTAACTTCCATTGGCTCTGGAACTACCTTGAGGTTCATCCTGGGCTAACCCTGTGAGTACCAAAGGATGCCTGCATCTCTTTGACCTTGCATCTCCAGCATCCCAGCAAGTGCCCAGAACATGTGTTCCAAAAGGGTACATGGAAGAGCACCCTGATTCCCAGAGAGCAGGGGGCAAGTCAGCTGCAGGAACAAATGAATTAGAATGGGGGACCTCAGCGCCACCATTTGAGGACTTTTTGTTACTGGTTAGACTAGACTGGAAGTGCATTACAGTGCTCTTCTGGTTCCATCTGCTTTCTTGAGCAGGCCCAGGAAAAGCCTATAGGGATACATTTGCTGTCTGTTCCTTCACCTGCCATTGGCCCTGAATATCTATGAACCCCAGGAGTCTAGAGTTTCCAGAAGAGCTGACTGACAGATAGGCTATCTTCTCTCCTCTTCCATCAGCCCAGAGTCCTGGGAGCAAGAGTGACTAAATTACAATTTGAACCTTTCTTATAGTCTGGCTCACTTTCATCCAACCAGTGTTGGGTGAGAGCCAGGGTCCTGGGAGCCATGGGTTGGTAAAGCAGAGCCCTTACCATTGGAAAACCTTCTGAATCTTCAGAGAACGGATGCAGCCAACTGGACCTTGGACACACCCTCACTGTTAGTCTCAGTTCCCACCAAAGCCCATAGCATTTCCTGTGCCTTGTCCGTTATTTCACAAGCTGTTTCTTGCTCATTCTCAAGTTCCATGACAGAGACCTTTATCTTCTTCCAGAAGTCAGACAGTTGGCTGCAGCAGCTCCTGGTCAGTGCCATGGCCAATACCCTCAGTGACCATCTACTGAACACCTTGGAGGGGCTGTTGCCCTATGACTTCGAGAAGTTCAAGTTCAAATTGCAGAACACCAGCCTGGAGAAGGACCATTTCCGGATCCCTCGGGGCCATCTGCAGATGGCAAGGCCCATAAAGCTGGCCACCCTGCTGCTCACCTACTATGGGGAGGAGTATGCTGTGCGGCTGACCTTGCAGATCCTGCGGGCCATGAACCAACGCCAGCTAGCAGAGGAGCTCCACAAGGCCACAGGCCCAGGTCAGTGGTCAAGACCCCCTCCTAGCCCAGCATAGGTGACAGCTACTGGTGGAGTAAGGAAAGAGTGCTAAAACCCAAGCTCTCTAGCTTGAGTGTTAAGAAGTCTTTGTCCACCACAACATGAATGACCTAGATCAGCACATCTTGTCCCTCTCTCTGGCCTTTATAGCCTGGTTAGTGAAGCTCTCCCAGGCTCCTAATCACTTCAAAAATTAAAACGGGGCTGGAGAGATGGCTCAGTGGTTAAGAGCACCAATTGCTCTTGCAGAGGACCCAGCTTGATTCCCAGCACCCACATGGCAGCTAAGACCTATCCTTAACTCCAGTTCCAGGGGAATCCGAAGCCCTCTTCTGACCTCTGTGGCATTGCATGACATGGGTGCACTCACATATGTGCAAGCAATATACTCAGACACATAAAATAAAAATAATAAATAAAATATAAAAAAAACTGAAGCTGAGCACAGTGGTGCATGCCTTTAATTCCAGCACTGGGGAGGCAGAGATAGGCAGGTCTCTGTTAGATCAAGGCCAGACTGGTCTATATAGCAAGTTCCAGGACAGCGGGGACTATAGGGAGACCCTGCTTCAAAATGATAATGATAATAAATAAAAACTGAGATTCTGACTGTGAGTCAGAATCAGAAGTTCTGGTAAAACTGTATGCCACCACTTCTGGCTTTAAGCATTCCTTAATTTAAAAAAATATTTATTATTTTTATTTTATGTGTATGTGTGTATTGCTTGCAAGTAGGTAAGTACACCCATGTTGTGTAATGCCTGCAGAGGACAGAAGAGGCAGTCAGATCCCCTAGAGCTGGAGTTATGGACAGTCGTTAGCCGCCATGTGGGTGCTGAGATTTGAACCCAGGTCTTCTGAAAGAACAGCCAGTGTTCTTAACCACTGAGCCATCTCTCCAGCCTGCATTCCTTAATTTTTAACAAAACTTCTTCAAAAAATAGGTTGCTAATTACAGATTATCTTCATTTCATTATGTGGACTTTAGAATGGAGCCTTTCCTGTCATTTCTAAACAGTTAACAGTATCCTGAAATTTTCAGGAAAGCTTGCCTCTTTTTCTTTCTTTCTTTCTTTCTTTCTTTCTTTCCTTCCTTCCTTCCTTCCTTCCTTCCTTCCTTCCTTCCTTCCTTCCTTCCTTCCTTCTTTCTTTTCCTTCCTTCCTTCCTTCCTTCCTTCCTTCCCCTCCCTCCCCTCCTTCCTCTCTCTCTCTTATTTATTTATTTATTTATTTATTTAGTTAGTTAGTTAGTTAGTTTTAGACTGGGTCTCACTGTGTAGACAAGGCTGACTTCAAAGTCACAGAAATCCACCTGTCTCTTCCTCCCAAGTGCTGAGAGTAAAGGCATGCGTCACCATGGCCCGCCAAGCTTTTCTTAAAATTTTCATCTGCACTTATCTTTGTGACTTGGGTTTTCTTCAGTTTGTGCGATGAAAGAGAAACATATGCTCATTTATAAGCCTTTATTTAAATTTTCAAAAAATTTAAATTGCATTTTACTTATGTATTTTGTGTATGTGTGTGTGTGCGTGAGTGGGTGTCCAAGTGCCATGGCACATATATGGAGGTCAAGGGACAATTTACCAGAGTTAGTGTTCTCCTTCCCTTATATAGGTTTTGGGGTTTGAACTCAGGTTGTCAGGCTTGGCAGCAAGTGCCTTTACCCACTGAACCATCTTGCCAGCCTGTGTTAATTCTTTTTATTGATTGATTTTATAAGTGAGATTTCTACATCTATAATTATACATACATTTACCAATAAGCCAGTTTTAATTTACTGTCTTAGAGTTCTGAGTAATTGCTGTTATCTAGAATGTTCTATGTTTTACCTTCTATAATTTTGGAGGGGATTGTCTTCCCCTAACCCTTGGCCTTGAGTGAGTGAGCTTCATGACTGTGTCTGATTGTCTTTCCAGAACATTCTGCTGAAGAGATTGGAACTGACAGTTATGTAGGGTCTTCAGAAGAGAATAAGGCCAAGAGTATGAATGTGCCAGGTGTCCTGGAAAGTGATGGGCAGAAGCAGAGTGGTGACCAATCAGCCACCCTGCCAGCCAGCCAGCCTGAAGTGGTGAAGAGGCCCCAGAAGAAGTCTCCTGTCAAAAGGAGCGATCAGAAGGGTCCTGAGGGCCTGGACTCCCAGACCAAGCCATGGGCTAGGAGCACAGCACCACTCTACAGGAGAAGCCCAGTCCCCAGCCAGTCACCAGGGGACAAGGAAAGCAGGGCAAGTGCCCAGCTGCGCAGGAATGCCAGCTCTGCAGGAAGACTGCAGGGGCTCTACTATAATGGCATCCCGGGGAGGAGAGAATGCAAGAAATCTGAAGTGTATTTGCCTTCAGGAAAGAAGAGACCCAAAAGTCTTGAAATCACTATTTCTTCAGGAGGAGGACCCCCAAATCCAGAAATGTTTCTGACTCAAAAAGAAACAAGAAATGGAAATCCACCCTCAGCAGCCACCCCCAGAGGACTACCCACTCTGGATATAGGCACTACTGTGTCTCTGGAGAAAGACTTGGGGAACCCAGAACATTTCATAGTCCTAGAGGTAGAAACATGCAGGACCACACTTCCCAAAGCATTGTTGGCTGGAGAGAAGAAGTGCACTATATTTTGGAAGGAAAACGGAATTGGGGGTCCAGGTACTCTTGAGCTCTCACAGAAGATGTCCAGCAGTGCTCTCTCTGAGTCCCCCAATCCAGAAGTGCCTTTGTCAGTATGTGAGAAACAAGAACAGACTCTGGAAGACTCAGCATCCTTAGGATCAGTGGCTTGTAAAGGTATCCCCTTCCCCTAGAATTTCCTTTTATTCTTAGTATATTTATATTGCTGTAATACTGGGTTGCCTTTCGGAGTCCCTTTGCCAATCTGCTGAAGGCCATGAACCTAGAAAAATACACAAATATGCATCTTGAAAAAAAAACTGCATCAAAATTCAATTAGTTCCCAAACTCTCATAAGTTATTTTGTAGAAGCCACTGGCTTTGGGGGCCTAAGATTGAGAATCTGGAAAAGACTGGGTAAAAATATTCCCTTTTCACAATTACCCCACATGTATGTTATAGGGCAGAGATTCTGCCGTTCTCTTCCTTGGGCAAGGAGGAAATATGTTAACCAAAGCCTAGGGTTTTTTTTCCTTTTTTCTCTTATTTACTTAAATTGTTTAAATTTTTTTACTTAAATTATTATTATTATTATTATTATTATTATTTGGTTTTTTTGAGACAGGGTCTCTCTGTAGCCCCAGCTGTCCTGGAACTCACTATGTAGATCAGGCTGGCCTTGAACTCACAGAGATCCACCTGACTCTGCCTCCCGAGTGCTGGGATTAAAGGCTTGCGTCACCACGCCCGGCCCCTACTTAAATTATTTTTTAAAAGAATTTTACACATTTACATCACTTCCATTCCTCTCTATCCTCCTCCAACCCCCCCGTGTTCTCTCATTCTCCCCCAATTTCCTTACCTGTTATTATTGCATATATATATGCATACATATATATTACTGAGCCCATTGAGTGGTGCTAGTGTGTACATATGTTAGTGACCACTTGGGAATGGATAACCAACCTATCAAGGAGCTCATGTTTGGAGAAAACTGACTCTCCTCCTTTCAGCAGCCATTAATTGCCTGTAGCTCTTCATCTAGAGATGGAACCTTGTGAAATTTCCCCCATCCATGTGGGCATGTCGACTAGTGTTGTCTTTATGAAGGTCTTCTTTAGGCAACTGTATTGTTGACATTTCATATGTGCAGCTTCCCTGTCATGTCTGGAAGTCACTATCTAGCAGTAGGCATCCTGGTTCTCTGGTTCTTACAGTGTTTCTACCCCCCTCTTCTGCAATGTTTCCTGCCTTAAGTGTAGGGGGTACATTTTAAATGTATTAATTGAGGCTAGGCACCCTACAGTCATTTATCTCTGTATTTTGACCAATTATGGCACTCTGTAATCATCTCCATCTGTTGCAAAAAGAAGCTTCTTTGATGAATGTTGACAGTTATACTTACCTGTGGGTTTTAGGATAAGTATTTAGAATACAGTTAGAAATTGTATTGGTTTAGGGAAATGGTAGCAGTAACTCTCCTCTTGGGTGACCTCTCCAGCCATGAGTATTTGACTAGGTTTATAGTAACAGGCATGAATTCCCTCCTATTGAGTGGGTCTTAAGTCCAATTAGACAGTTTTTTTTTGTTACCTCCAAGATAAAAATGCCACTATTACATCATTAGGCATATCTTTCTGGGATGGTTATTGTTGTGGTTCATAGGCTTTATAACTGGGTAAGATTAGTGATTGAAAAGCCTAGGCTTCTCTTACTAAGTTAGTCAGGAAGATTATGTTTGTTTATGAGAAATAGTCAACTCCAGTTTGCATGAACAGCATACAAGTTTGTTCCTCTTTCACACAAATGACTCATAAACTATCTAGGACAGACCCATGGGCCAGGACTCCAGATTTCTGATGAGCAGTTTTACTCTGCTTCATCAGGTTTTCTCTGAAACCCATGACCTCAGAAGTTGACACCCTGACTCCACTCAAGAGGGTGAAGAGACAAAGGGGAATTAACACCATTTAGGGAAGATTTTGAAAAGTTTTTAGAAGTTGCTCATCACACGTCATTGACTTCCCTTTGATTAGAATTTGATCAAATGGCTTCTGTTTATTTCATCTAAGAATCTAGGTTTGGCATAAGGTGGAGAAGCACCCACATAGGCAAGCAATTGATTCTACCATAAGAACGGTTCTTCCAGGGTGTACTGGCAATCTTGATTTCAAATGTAAAGGGAATTCCTGGCCTAGTGAGGGGAGGAAGAAGGAAAAGATAACGGATTGTGTGTGTTTCTATTTTTTCTTGTGTCTCCTGTCATTTCTGATTTATAGATACTACCTGTAGTCTTGGAACAGAATTTTCATAGTGGTTATGTCTTCACTGTGAAATTTACCCTTTAGCTTTATAAAGTCCTCCTCTTTGCTTTCATTTATGGTTCTTGAACTTGAAAGAGAGTGGTGGGTTTACTCGATACTGTTCCAAAGGCATGCTATGTTCTTTAGTAAGGTTTCTGCTAGAGGCTGGCGATCTCTCTATGAATGAGGCACATAGTGGCATCCCCAGAAGCTTGAGTCATGGTAGCCTTAAAAAGTTCTGATTTTAAGTGGGAAAGCAAATGGCTATCAGCATGTTTTGCTTTCTTTTATATGACCATGTTTTCTTTTATAGATCCATGTTTGTGCAAGAGAAAGGCATAGATGGATCTGTAGCAAAGGGCCACGGGTCTTTCATGGAATAAATGGCCAAGAATCCCAGGGTCCAGGAAAAGGAAGAGGCTTGACCCTTAGCTCTCAGCCTTGGTGGTCTATTCCCTGCTTCACTTAGATGGAAGTCAGAGCAAGGCATGCTGGGAAGTAGTCAGATCTGAGACTGTAAGCATCCCACATATAATATGCCACTCAGGAGATTTTTCCACTGCTGTATCTCCAGGAAGGTCACAGGATGAGGCTGCCTGTCCTCTTTGCCACACCCAGGAAGGAGACTTGCAGGGTGGCAGCTTTGTGCAAAATTCCTGCAGCTGCTCCATCGCTCCTGGTGATCCCAAGGCATCAGGCAGATGCTCATCCATATGCTCCCAGTGCCAGATGTCACCTGCAAGGAAGAGCTCTGGAGACCTGAACTCCCAGCTCCTGCCACAGTGCCCACGCCACATGAATCAGGTACAGCTGCTCTTCTGTGAGGATCACAAGGAGTCCATCTGCCTCATCTGCAGGCTCAGTCAGGAGCATCGAGGCCATCGGGTGTGCCCCATTGAAGAGGCTGCATTGGAGTACAAGGTAGATTCCTGCTTAGAGGCCTCTCTCTGCCATATAGTTGGATACTCTGGACCATACTTTCTTTATTCAACCCCTCTGGGATGTGAGTACACTGGCCAGGATGCTTGGACTCTAAATGGAAAACCACCACCACCACCAACAAAACAAAACATAAGCAAACCAGGACAGCAAAGAACTGATCAGTTTATGTTACTCAGAAGCCCAGGGGTGCTAGTTTCAAGTATGGATCCAGGGGCAACTCATGGGGGTCACTGGGACTCTGTGTGTCTCTGCTCCCCTTGGTGATAGATTCATACCTCTTCCTTCCCAGTACTCCTCCTCTTGCTCTCAATTGCAGCATTCTTAGCTCTGCTTCCAGGAGCTGATTCTCTCACTCTAGAGTTGGTACAAGCTGAAGATGACAAGAATCAAATGTGAGTATTGTAACAAGTGCTTTTTTTCCAGGAGCAAATCCAGAAGCAACTGGAGCACCTGAAGGAGCTGAAGAAATGTGGGGAGGAGCACAGGCTGCAGGGGGAAAAGACCACAGAGAGCTTCCTGGTAAGGCCTGTGTGCCTGATGGCCACTCCTCACCTGTTTCCACCTGTAGAAGAAAGGAGGGGGTTGAAAGTGAGCAAGCACAGACTGAGGTTCTGCTCTGGTTCACAGGGTCTTGATGGTGGTGGTAGGACAGTCATGGCTTCTAAGGGTGAGGTCATCCCTGTAGCTCCCTGCAGGAGGGGCATCTCCAAGGCCTAATCGCTTTCTTCTCACCATGAAACAATTTAGAGACTAGAGGTAGTGGCTATCACCAAGGGATTGAATTGAAGAAAGCGAAAGGAAGGTATTTTAACTTAAAAAAATCCTCCATATTATTTTTATAATTGTTGTTGGGGCTAGAGATGCAGCTCAGTTGATAGGGCACTTTCCTAGCATCAACAAGGCCCTGAATTCAATCCTCAGCATGGCAAAAACTGATAGCACAGGCCCATAATCCTAGCACTTGGGAGGCTGAGGCAGGAGGATAAGTTCAAGGTCATCATTAGCCTCATACCAAGTCCAAAGCCAGCCTGGGCTACATGAGACTATTAGCCCCCACCCCCAAACAGCTGGGTATAGTGGCACACACTTGTAATTCCAGCACTGGGGTGGCAGAGACAAGAGGATTGCCACAAATTTAAGGCCAGCCTTGTCTACATAGCAAGCTCCAGATCAGCCAGAACTACATAGTGAGATCCTGTCTTAAAGTATTAATAGCAGTAATAATTTTTAATTTGATAAAAACTATATTTTGGGGCTTTTTGTAGTGCTGGGAACAGAACATAGGACTTTGTACTTGCTAGGAAGGGGCTCTACCTCTGAGTTAAATCCCAAGCCCATTTTTTGGCTTTTTGAGACTAGATCTCATTTTGTAGTCTGGCCCAAGTAGGATTTCAACCTATTTCATTATGGCCTCATCTTAACTTAGCACATCTGCAAGTACTGTATCTCCAAGTAAGATCACATTCTAAGTTACTGAGGGCTTCACCTTATGAATTTTAGAGGGGAAACTTGTGAACCTATAGCATTAGATTCAAGAGCATTTCCCAAGAGTTAGCCCCTGCAATGCTGAATCTGTTCAGAAAGTTCCACACAATACTGCTCCAGGTTTTCCAAGAGACTGAGGAAGCCTGTTTCTCATTTACCTCTATGGGATGGGCTTCTGGGGCTTCCTTGGACATACACTTTCACCCACAGAACACATCCATATTTCTCCTTGTTCTGTGCTCCCCAGAAACAAACAGAAACCCAGAAGCAGAGGGTCCAGTGTCAGCTGGAAAAGTTGTACCAGTTTCTGGAGCAACAAGAGCAGCTGTTTGTGGACTGGCTACAGGAGCTAGGCCAGACCATTGGACAGGTCCAGAAGACATATGACACCCAGGTGTCCCAGGACATCGCCCTCCTGGACGAATTGATTGGAGAACTGGAGGCCAAGCAAGGTCAGCCGGAATGGAAGCTCATGCAGGTAAGTGTGTAAGTATGCCTGGCCTTGCCCTGCCTGCTGTGCCCAGTGGGATGACTTAGGCTCTTGTCACTGCCCAAGCCAGGAAGCAAGGCCCTTGAGGCCTCAGATGGGACTTTGTCTCAATGACCCACAGTATCTCTTGGGCTCAGACCTCTTTGACGAGGTCTCTTGGGAAACCAGAATAGTTCAACATTCAGGATGCCCCTGGAGTCACTCAGAAGAGACCAGCAAGACCCCAGTACATTTACACTGTGGGTTCTGGCATGACTGACCCCAGGGTGATTAGAATCAGAAAGGAGAACTGTTCCTATTTACCAACACCCAGGGACTCCTGGGACTGGGAGTCCTGGTAAGGGCAGAGAGAAGTTTGTAGTCTGGGAGTCAGCACAGGTTCTCAGAGTCTGGTAATGGAGAACCTCTCTCTTTTCTCTCCTAGGACATTGGAGTCACCTTGCACAGGTATAGAGGTCCTCACCCTGTGATGTTCCCTTGAGTGTCTTTCAGGAAGCATTTGGCTGAGACAGTCCTAGGAGAGACCCATGTCTATGACTCAGGAATCCTAGTTCCTGAAGCTTCCTGGGGCCTTCCTGGATTTGTTTGGGGGAGAACAGGACCTTGGCTAGGTCGGGGAGGGGGAAGAAAGAATTTATTCCAGTCCTACTGAACCCAGATGGTGGCTTCCCAAGAAACATCACAAAATAATTGTGTTCCATGTCAAGTGTTTTATGATGGTGGCCCCTGAAGAACTGCCTCTGGCCTCAAGGACTTTCTAGGGAGTCTCTGGGAATCAATTTGGAGGTGGGTTAAGCCCAGCAGGTAGGGGAGAAGAGACATGAAATGGAAGAGGCTACATCTCAGAATTATTTGAGGAGCTTTATAAAATCCTGGGCATTGGTGTTTTTTTTTGTTTGTTTGTTTTTGTTTTTAAAAGTTTTTTTCCAGCCAGGCATGGTAACACACACCTTCAGTCCCAGCACTCAGGAAGCAGAGGCAGGTAGATCTTTGTGAGTTTAAGGCCAGTCTGGTCTACATAGTGAGCCCCAGGCCAGCTGGGGCTACAGGGAGACCCTGTTTTAAAAAGACCAAAAAAAGTATTTTCCAAGTAAATCTTTAAATAAAATTTACCATTTTAGCTATTTTGTGTGTATAGCTCACTGACATTAAGTACATTCACATTAGTGTATACCTATCACCACCATTCTAGACAGGGAACTAGAAAAATGTCGGAACAGGGAAAATTTCAAATATTCATATGAGTCCATTGGAATTTCTTGGGGGGTGTTTCTTGATGGGAGCTTCCAAAAGCATCTATTGGGTTCCTCCTCATTTTTCTTTTGTCTGCCAAGGCTGGACTTGAGAGTGATGGATTCAGGATTTGCTTTCAGGCATTTTGATAGCTGTTTGGAGTGGTTAGAATCAGTGTCAGTTCCCTCTCAAAAGCTTCTAGATAGGGGGAGAAAACAAATTTGGCCATCACTTTAGAACAATAGCAGGTTGTCTCCCTTAGCTACAGGTGAAGAGTAGTGAGTGCTGAGCCATTTCTCCAGCCAGTAGCACATCTTTATCTGTTCATCTGTTGATGGACATTTGGACTGTTTCTACCTTTGGACTATTGTGAATGGTGCTGCTGTGAACATCGGTATACAAGTGTGTGCTTGAGACCCTGCTTTCAGTTCCTCAGATTATATACCTACAAGTAGAATTTCTGCATCATGTGGTCATCCTATTTATTTTTTAAGGAACTTCCATACTATTTCCCATAGTGTCTGCATCATTTACATTTGCACCCACGGTGCACAAGGGTGTTAATTTCTCCACATCCTTGTCATCAATCTGTAATGTCCCATTATCATTTTTTACTATGGTTATAATGGCCATTGTAATAAATGTAAAGAGGAATATCATTATTTTTCTCATTCCAATTTTTCTTTCAGTAGAGACTTATAATTAATTTGACATAGAAAATCTCATAGATAAGACCAACTCAGTTTTACTGTCATTATTTGAGCTCACTGTGGTTTTGATAGCAGTGGTTCAGAGAAACAAGTCTGTAGCTGAACTTGAGGACCAATGTCAGAACTGAGTCTAAGGAAGAGTTTTCATTGCATAGCCCAAACTGACCTGGGTGTGCTGAGTGGAGACTACCTCACTTTCACCTCATGGGGACTCGGGCTATCTCCTTGCTCCCATCTTCTCTGGTCAACAATTTCTTTACTCTAGGGCTAAGACAGTGACTGTTCCTGAGCCCTTGACCACTCCTCCAGACGTGAAAGAAAAGATTCACCTACTCTACCAGAAATCAGAGTTTGTGGAGAAGAGTATGCAGTACTTCTTAGGTGAGTAAGCTTGGTGGAAGATGGGAGGGCCCTTGCTCACTTCTTCCCCAGGATCCACATAGCCCAGAGGCCCTTCCATTTCCTTCTTTCATCTCCCTGCCTTTAGTGTCTTTCTGATCTAGCTCAAATAACTCAGATTTTCTGTTTCCTTTCCTCCTTTATAGAAACACTGCATTCTAAAATGGAAACATTCAATGCTGTGGATGTAAGTCAATGGGGAGGGCACCGGCCAAGCATACCAGAGGTCCTGAGTCCAATCCCCAGCAACCACCTAAAGTGGACTTGTGGAGACACACGGGTCAATAATGTAGTCCTTGAATCAGGACCTCAAGCTCACCCCCAGCCTCAGCCAGCTCAAGACCCACCTGAGCTATATGAAACCCCGTCTCAGAACAACAAAAGAAAAGCTAGATCTTTCCTGAAATGGAAACCTCCATTTGTAAGTATGGTGGTGGTAGTGTGAGTTAATCAGTTTTTATAATAGTTCCTTATCTGTTGATTTTGGGGCATTGTTCAGAAAAGAGGAAAAATACCTAGTAGAAAGGCCCCACAGTTCTGTGTGGTCCCTTTGTGCCTGCCTTGTTCATTGAACTAATTAGTCTATAATCTCCAGTGTGGTGTGGGTGCCTGGGAGGCCTTGGATTACAGACTAGCATAGGATGCAAGGCCCTAAGCAGGAGAGTCCTTGTGTTTCCTTGTGGGGACAGTGTAATTCAGGTCATTTTTTAAATCCCATATCTTTTTCCCCCCTCTGTAGTTCTAGAACTGATTGGTGCTCAGGAACATGCTGGTAAGTGACCAGATCAAAGAAAGTAGCAGCCTTGGCATACTTTCCTATGGATCCTGTGTATCTCAGTCCCCTCCACGATCTAGAATAACCACCCTGCCCCTCTTTCTTAGGTTGGAGAGCCTTGGGAGAATGTTTTGCCTACAGACTCCCCCCAGCTAGGTATTCTTCTCTCTGCAGTTGATGTAATCCTGCAACCAGCAACTACTCACCTCAACCTCATCTTTTCTGATGATATGAAGAGTGTAAGACTTGGAAATAAGTTGGATTCACTGCCTGACAACCACCAAAGACTCAAAATTACATCGACACCCTGAGTACTCACACCCTTGTGTATGACTGCCATCACTGGTAGGCAGAGGTTGGAGATGAGATGGTATAGGTCCTGGGAGCATGCAGAGCATTGCAAACAGGAAGGGAAATATAACTGTCACCAGAGAATAGTCACTGAGTAGTAATGACAACAAAGAAAACTGAGGACCAAGCATCCATTTTTCCTCCAACCCGCCTGTGAATGAGACAGCCCCCCCACAATGGGTGGGGATCTTCCTAGACTGCACAGGACAGCCAAGTCCCACATCTATACATTTACTAGTTTCTCTTCTGGGCCCCTTCAGTTTTCTTCAGCCCCAGGACACATGATGGAAGAACCTGGCTCCTCTGACCATCTGTCCAGTCAGTAGCCAGAGGTTTCATTAAGTGCTTGCACTTCCATTCTGACTCCTGGTCTTACATCTTGCATTCATGCACTCAGTAGTCACTAACTGGGTGTTAACTGATAAAAAGCATGTAATGAATAAGAAAATAGTATCAGTGCCTGTATTAGTCATTGTTCCTTTTGCTGTAATAAAATACCCTGACAGAAGCAACAAAAAGGAGGAAATGTTTATTTTGGTTCACAGTTCAAGGTTCATCACAGCAGAGCAGTTGCAGTGGTAGGAACTTGAGGCAGCTGGTCACACTGCATCCATTGTCAAGAAGCAGAGAGTGAGGAATGTGCTAATGGTCATGTTCAGCCAGCTTCCTCCTTTTCATGCAGTCCAAGACCCAAATCGAGGGACTGGGCCACCCAAATTTGGGATGGGTCTTTCACCTCAATTAACCTAACTGAGAAAAGTCTTCGCAAGCATGCCCAGAGGATTGCCTCATGGGTGATTCTAGAGCCTGTCAAATTGACTACCATCATTAGCCATCACAGGACCCAAGTACCAAATCCTAGCAGAGGTAAGCTAGATAGTCAAATACTGGTAAGCAAAGGTGAAGATGACACATACCAATGGCATGCAGAGGCATCCAGAGGAGGAAGTACATGGCTACTGTGTAATAAACCATGCAGCATCAAGCACTCTCAGATGTTCCTGAGAGAAGATCCTACTTCATTTTCCCTCCCTAGGGCAAGGATGTATTTGCCATTCTGTCTTTCTTAACCTTGGACACAGAAAACATAAGCAGACTCTAAAGAGGATACACTTTCCTCTGTCTTATTTTCACTCTTTTTTTTTTTGAGACAGGGTCTCATTATGTAGCCCTGGCTGGCTTGGAACTCACTATGTAGACCAGGCAGGCCTCAAACTTACAGAGATACACCTGCCTCTGCCTCCCAAGTGCTGAGATTAAAGGTGTGGGCCACCATGCTCTGCTTATTCTATTAATGAAGCTCCTCTTCAGGCTTTAAAAGGAAGCTTCTTCTTTAAAAAAAAACTTTGAGAATTACATACATGCATATAAGGTGTTTTAATCAAATCCATGCCCACTCCCCTCCAACACCTCCCATATCTCCCCATCACTTTTTTCTGACAACCTGACAACTTTCAACTTTTTCTTCTCTCTCTCTCTCTCTCTCTCTCTCTCTCTCTCTCTCCTTCCTACTCTTCTTTTCTTTCTTAATGTTGCTTTTTGATACTCTAACATTCCCCACCCCCCTCAGAGGTAACTCTAAAATCTTTTAGGGATAAGAGCTCCCAAATACTTGTGACATTTTTGGCCATTGAAACAGAGTATGTTGCTAAGAGGCCCAAGGACATTTTGACTTTTAGCCAAGAAACTGGCTACTTTTCTTTGGGGTCTTTTAACCCTAACCACCTAGCCAATTCCTACCTTCTATTCTCATCACACCATCCTTTAAAGAGGTTACCTAAATTGCTGATAGGGAATTGGGATGCAGACCGCTCTGGAGGAAGCCTCTTCTTTAAGGCTCCATCATGTTTAGATCTCCACATGTTGTATTTGTCTAATGCTCTCCCTTCTACCTTGAGGCCCAATCATGGCCTTTGAGACCCTTTTATTCTAATAATAAACCTCATACCTAAGATAATTTGTGTCAACTTCTTTTTGGGATGAACTGTTGCTGTTCTTATCATAACAATACTGTTTTGTAATTTCCCTTTCACTTTCTTTTTATTGGTTGCATTGTATTCCAGTATAAAACATAATGATTTAACCATATATGCATGAATGTTTTGGTGTGCATGTCTGTGTACATATCTGCACATGTATGTGCACATGTGTGTATATAGTACATGGAGATCAGAGGTCAACCTCAGGTGTTGACCTCTTTTCTTTTTTTTGAGACAGGGTCTCTAACTGGTCTAGAACTGTCTGAGTAGATTGGCTTTCCTATGATCTCCAGGAATTTTCCTATCTCCACCTCCCCAGTGTTGGGATTATGTCTGGCTTTTTAAGGTACTTTCTACTGTTTGCTTACTCATAATAAAAGTTTTGCAAATTTTGATGTACGGGTAAGCAGATACTTTACAAGCATTTTTTGTTTACATTTTTCATATTCTTTTAAAATTTCTTTTTATGTGTGTTTTGCCTGAAGGTAGGTAAGTACATCCCTTTGTGCAATGCCTGTGGATACCAGAAGGCATTAGATTCCCCTGGAAGTGGAATTACAATTGTTAGCTGCCATGTGGGTGCTTGGAAAGGAACTCCTGTCCTTTGCAAGAAAAGCTAGTGCTCTTAACTGCTGAGCCATCTCTCCAGCCCCAATATTATTTTTTGAAACATATCTTGTCATAGTCAAGTGAGTCAGCTATTATTAGCACTGACACACTTTTAAAAATCAAAAACAACAAAAAACCGAAAACGGGAATGGAGAAATAGTTGCTCTTGCAGAAGACTGGGGCCTCGGTTCCCAGCACCACATGGTGGCTAACAATTGTCATTAACTTCAGTTCCAGATGATCCAACATGGCACCCTCTTATGACCTCAGTGGGCTTTGCATGCATGTGGTGCACTTACATACATGCAGGCGAACCATTCAAACATATAAAAATTAATATATATATTTTTAAAAGTTTGACATTCTGCTAGAGGCTGGCATTACATACATGAAGGAATAGGGGAATCTCCACCATAGGTTGTTCTAACCCTCACCAATGCCTCACTGAGAATGAACTGAGTATGGAAAATGCAGAAAAAAAGGCAGTCTTGGTGAGCCACATTAGTTTTCCCAGCACTCGGCACTGAGGCAGGCGAATGTCATGAGTTTCTTGCTAGAAAAAAAATCTCGTCATGTGGTAGCCAAAAATGAGTTTGGAAATAGAGACCCTCTTAAAATACAGTTTGGCAATGTAGAGGTATTAGTAAGCTGGGACCAACGGCAGCCCCTTACCCAGCTCGCCGAGAGCCAGAGCGTGCCGCAGGTCCCTACACAGACAAGGATCCAGCAGCGGAAACAGCCTCAGACCTTCCCGTCCCACAGGAGGCCAACTTCCGGCAGTGCCTAGTCCCGCCCCTCCCACCACAAGCACCACCACCTGTTGGTCTCTCAGTGGCAGTTTGGAGCTGAACTACATTTCCCAGCGAGGCCTGGGCACGAGGCTGGCTCTTCATGGCGGATGCCCACCGCCCAAGAGGACCAGCGCCAGCCTCCTGCTTCGTGCCTCGCAGGTTAGCCGCAGAGAGTGGCGTCCGCCTTCCCGGCCTTCCTCCGGCCCTGAGAGCTCCGCCAGAAGGCCCTCAGCCTCACTTTCTCAAGCACTAGGTGCTCGGCTCCGAGAGAGGAGACCAGGCTTCTGTACCGGAAGTGGCTCGACGGATGTGGCTTCACGGAGGGTTCCCACAGGGAACCGCGTCCCGCCATCCTCTCCACTGGAGGCCCAATGGTTGCTGGCGGTGTCTGAGGACACTCTTGGCCAGGACGAGGCGAGAGAACAGCCTCCCGCTTCTGGTTTCCCGGGTCATTCCTCGAGCCCAAGTTTCAGCGACCGCCGGTGGCAGAGAGAGGTGACGGGTAGGAGTCGGGTTAGGGCTGCTGCTAGGAAACCGGGCGCTGTCCATGCTGGGATACTAGAGCGGGTAGGGGGCCACGAGCACCCCATACAGTGCCACGGGGTGGGCTTTGCCGTCACTGACCCTGGGTTGATGGGAGAGGCCTCAAAGTCGGCCGGACCTGGTCTTCTGCCTTTCAACAGTGGTGAAAAGTCCATAGGCCTTGTGTGGACCCCTTAGGCGGCATCGAGTACCCCCCCACCCGCCCCTAGTCCTCAACCTTTGCCCAGAAGGCACGAAATGTGTACTCTAGGTTGTCTGTTTCCTATCCCATTGCTCTTTGTACAGTTATGACTTAAACTCTTCCTACTGGATCTGCACTTAATGTTTAATGGGACGGTGACCCTGCACCTTCTGCTGGCCGCCATCGTTCTCTTCCATTTTGGCTTTTGAGCTTTGGTTTTCGTGCTCAGGGTCATTTCCAGGTGTTTCTAAGAGTATCCTGCTCAGGAATTCTCCATTTCAATTATGGCTTCCTTACCCCAGCTTTCCTGCCCGGTTTAGATCTCAAATGCCCTCACCACCCAACCCGTATATTGGAGTGTAGTCATGCCCTGCCTTGTCTTGTGGTAATCCTTAGTTTATCTGTCTCCAGCTTGGTTATCTGCCAGATTTCCTTCAGTAAAAGAAGTGGCTCAGAAGCCCCCAGAACCAGTGTGGTCTTTTGTTACAAAGCATGCTGACTACAAAAGTGGTTCCATTATCTACAAAGCCAAAGAAATCCTTTGTACTGAGAGTTCCGAGGGACTCCAAGCTAGGCCAAGGCCTTCGACATGACACTAGTGAGCCCAAGACCATCCACCAGCTGGTTCTGGAGCACTTTCTTGACTTCTGGCCTAAGCCATTCGTGGGCCAGCCCTGTCAGAAAGACAAGGAGTCCTTGGTTATGAAGAATGTGAATTCAAGCCTTCAGAACAACGGTGAGTTTGTGCTTGTTTTACTAGAAGAAAAGGGGCTGGTACTGGGGACTGGGACTCTTCACTAGCTGTGAATTTAAGTTAGAATGGTGGATATTGAAAAAGGAGTCAGGGCTGGGGTTGTGGTTCAGCTGGTAGAGTACTTTTGTGGCATGTATAAACATCTGGGTTCAATCCTTAGCAATGCATAAAACGGGTGGTGAAGGCAGGAGGGTAAGAAATTCAAGGTTATCTTGGGCACTTAGAAACATTATATGATACCCTGTCTCAAAAAAAAAGAGTCAGTTTTATGGGGCTGGAGAGATGGCTCAGCGGTTAAGAGCATTGACTGCTTTTGCAGAGGACCCAGGTTCAATTCCCAGTACCCACATGGTGGCTGCAAACCGTCCTTAACTCCAGTTCCAGGGGAATCCGATGCCTCCTTCTGACCTCCGCAACATTACACAACATGGATGCACTCACATACATGCAGGCAATACACTCAAAAACATAAAATAAAATAAATAAATAAAACATTAAAAAAAGAGTCAATTTTAATGCATTGGGCTATTGTTTTTCAAGCCGGATCCTAACGGATATGCCAGATGTATGTAAAGTCACAAACTATGTGGTGTGTGTACTTTTTTGTATTATCAGTTTACCCAGGCATTCAGAATGGAAAAAGAGTAAACAGTTTAGATGAATTATGAAGTGGTCCTGAGTTTATGTAGGATTTTAGAACCTTGTTCAGGCCATCCATCCTTGCATTTTGCTCCCTACACTCTCTCTATGGTGACCTCTTTGTTGAAAAATTTGGAAGATTCTGTTTTTAATGACTTGACCATCTTCAGGAATCACAGGAGCGGAAGTAGCTATGAGTTACCTGCCAAAGAAGGGAGTACAGCTTGGCCTCAAGGTTTGGGCAGAGTGTCTATAGCAGAATCACTTAGTTTTTCACTAACTACAGCTTCCTCTTTCCCCAGTGCTACCTCATCCTTTAGTGAAGCTTCTTCCCAGAGAAGGAGTCCAGCAGAAACAGGAGACAGTGTCTCTGTGTTTTAAAGCTGACTCTGAGGTGGGTTTGGTTTTCCCACTCAACTGTTTTGAGTGCATCACGTTCTCTGCTCTTGCAGCCTTCCCTTTTCAGTCAACCTGCATATAACACTTTCTTAGAAGTCAGACTCCTTGGATGTTTCTCTTCTGCTTTCTTCTGGCTATCCTGTTTGTGCTGCTCCTGTGAGGGCTTTAGAGGAGCTTTGCCAACCTTTTCCTTAATTTTTGGGTCTAAGTCTTACCAGCAGAGCTGCCAAGAAACCTCATTTATTAAATGGGAAGTGGTCTCTTGTTCTTTCAGGTGCAGATGGTCTTTGAGGATTTGAATGTATATCACTCCCAAGAAGAATGTGTGAGCACAGATCCTGCTCAACAACCTACCCCAGAGAAGAAAGGTAGCAGTCATATGGGGGAGATGATTTTATATCAAGTTTTTTTGTGTTAATATTGTGTGCTATAGCAAAAGCAATTTTTCTTGACTTTGAGACAGGGTCTCATTTTGTGGTCCTGTCTGGTCTGAAACTCACTATGTAGCCTATAGTGATATCAAACTTGAAATAATCTTTCTGCCTCTACTTCCTAAGTGCTGAGATTACAGTTGTGCACCACCATGCCTGTCCAGAAAATACAGTTTTCATCTTTGGAGCTGCTGAAGCTCTACTCTTACCTAATAAAGTACAAGTGCACAGAAGTTTTGTTTTTGTTTCATCTCATGTGGTAGAGCCTAGTCATGGAGTTGCAGTTGTGGGTGAACATTACTAGGAGGCAGTGATGGGAAAGGGGATTTATTTTGTTAGGTAAGACTTTAATAATTCATTTTTGACTTCAGTATAATTCCTTTGGCAATACCTTTTAACTGGAACTAGACAGTCTTGCCTGAAATTCAATTGGAAAAATAGTTCTGTTAACTAGGGAAATGGAAAGAAAGAGAAAGAGAGCAGGAGAGGTTCTACCATTATGTGTTGTGTGTTACTGTGACAAAGTGGCTGAAAGAAGCAAAAGGAAGAATTTATTTTTATTTAAAATTTTTTTTTTGGTCTTTGTGAGGCAGGGTCTCCCTGTAGCTCCAGCTGTCCTGGAACTTACTATGTAGACCAGGCTGGCCTTGAACTCACAGAGATCCGCCTGCCTCTGCCTCCCAAGTACTGGAATTAAAGGCGTGCACCACCACGCCCGGCCAATTTTGTATTTTTTGAGACAGGATCTCTGTATAACCCCAGCTAGCCTTAAACCTACTGAGTTGCCAAGGATGATCTGGAGCTCCTGATCCTCTTTGCCTCCCACATCCTTTTTGCTGGAACTTTCGGAGTGTGTTACCATGACTGGTTTATGTAGTACTGGAAATTGAACCCAGGCCTTCATGTATGCTAGACAAAACACTCTACTAACTGCCTTATATCCCCAGTCCCTGAAAAGTTTTAAGTTGTTAAGCAACCTTGGGCTAAAGAAGAAAAAACAAATTAGAATTCTTTAATTTTGTTTTTTTACAGAACACTATCAGAATCTCATATCTTTTCAGAATTTTTTTTTTTTTTTTTTTTTTTTACCTTTTTTCTTTTATTTTTTATGTGTATGAATGTTTTGCCTGCATATATGTAAGCACACCCCTGTCGTGCAGTTTCTGGAGAGGCCAGAAGAGGGCATCAGATTCCCTGGAACTGAAGTTATGGATGGCTGTTCGCTGCCATGTGGATGCTGGAATTTGAATCCAGGTCTTCCGCAAGAGCACCTAGTACTCGTAACCACTGATCCATCTCTTCAGCTCCAGTATTTCAGAATCTTTGATGTGGACCAGTGTGGTGGTGGTACATGTCTTTAATCCCAGCACTAAAGAAGTCAAGGCAGGAGGAACCCTGTGTGTTTGAGGCAATCCTGGTCTACACAGTGAGTTCCAGGCCAGCCAGGGTTATATAGTGAGACCTTGTCTCAAACAAAACAAAAACCCAGAATGTATGATATAGTTTAAAATTATGCTTCAAAAAAAATTCATGACTGTTAAAACATGTATTAATTTAGAAAAAAAAAATGATGTTTGTGATTGAAATTTAGAAAATCAGTAGGGTAAATAACAGTGTTACCCCTTTTCATAGATTTCTTCTAAATCTTTAAACATTGAACAATGTAGTGCCATGAAAACTTTAAGAGTACAGATAAAGATTGAAAAATTACAATTCTTTTTATGAAATTAATGTAACAAAGCATTGAAACCTGAAACATAACCATTTTTGAATCAATTTATTTCAAGAATGCAAAAGCTTGATCTTCTTTAAGGTAGTGACTGTAGATATGCTGACTAGACTCCAGTGGATGAACCTGCATCCTTACACTGAGGGACATCTATCTGGGTACAAAAGCTTGACCAGATAGGACTTAGCATATGTGGCAGAATGCATGAAATCTAGTGTGTGTGGGGGTGTGTGTCTAAATATGATTAAGATCTATTGTATGAAATGCACAAAAAACTCAATAAAAGTATAATTTAGAAAAATGCAAAAGCAATAATCATTTGAGGATAGAAGTTACAATTTTAAAAAGTCTAATAGGTTCAAAGTAAAAAAAAATCTTCCATTGAATTAGGAAAAAAAGTCAAATAATATATATCTTATAGTAGAAGGAGAAAATCCTATGGTCATTTTCATAATTACTGAAGTGATAAAGGGTAAAATTAAAATCTCTTCTTCATAGGAACATCCAATAAATTAGTAATGTTATTAATCCATTCAATATTAAAGTGCTTTTTCCCCTGTGCTAGGAATCAGACCCAGCTCATGGCAGACGAGCACTCTTATTACTGAACTACAATCCCTGATCTTAAAAGTGCTGCTTTTTTTTTTAAGATTTATTTTTATTTTATGTGTATGAGTGTATACATGTGTGTGCACCTGCACCATATGCATGCCTGGTGCCCATGGAGGCCAGAAGATTCCCTGGAATGGGAGTTAACATGTTTTTGAGCTGTGATGTGGGTGCTGAGAACAGAACTTGGGTCCTCTACAAGAATAGCAAGTGCTCTTAATTTCTAAACCATCTCTAGCTCCAAGTACTTCTTTTTTTAAGACAAAGTCTCAGGTATCCCAGGCTTGCCTGGGACTTCTGATCCTCCTGCTTCTACCTCCCAAGTACTGGGAATATAGTCATATGCCACTACAAATGGTTTATGTGATATTGGAGATTGAACATAGGACTGTATTTGTGCTAGACAAGCACTCTACCAACTGACCCATATCTTCAGCCCTTAAAATGTTTCTTTAATGGAAGACATTCCCACTAATATTGAGAATACAGTGAGAAATCTCATTATCATTGCTACTGTTTAGCATTGTGTTTCAGGTGCTAGCCAGTACAGGTAAATGAGTAAGGAATTAAGTAAAAATTTAGATGCATTGGAATTTGAGAGAAGATTAAAAAAATGCTTCTTTCTTTTTTTGGTGGGGAAGGAGGTCTTTTTGAGACAGGGTCTCCCTGTGGCCCCAGCTGGCCTGGAACTTGTAGACCAGGCTGGCTTTGAACTCAGAGATCCACCTGCCTCTGCCTCCTGAGTGCTGGGATTAAAAGTGTGCACCACACCTGACCAGTTTCTATATGATGTAATTGTGTAGCTGGAAAACCCTACAGCATGTTTGAAAACTTAGTACATGGAGCATTCAGTAAGGTAATGGGATATAAAACTGACAAATAGAAAGTAGCTTTCATAGATGCAAACAGATAATCACTTAAAAGACTATGGAATCCAGACTAAAATAGAAACATAAAAGATTAACTGCTTAGAAATAACCTTAAAGGATGTGGAAAATTGGAAAGGATACAAAAGTTGAATTGAATGAATGGAAAGAAATCACATTTGGGGGGGCTGGAGAGATTGTTTGGCGGTTAAAAGCACTGGTTGCTCTTGCAGAGGACCCAGGTTCAGTTCTCAGCACCCACATGGTGGCTAAAAACTGTCCATAACTCCAGGGAATCTGGCAACCTCTTCTGACCTCTGAGGATACTGTAGGGCATAGACACAGGTGCAACTGCCTACCTATATGCAGGCAATACACTGATACACATAAAAATAGTAAAATATTTTTAAAAACCTCATTGAGAAGGATATAAGTGGGAGTAAAATAGATGTGTTCTATTGGTAAATGTAAAAAGATGCTTAAATAATGAAGATGCTTCATAATGGGAAGTTTAAAGTCATGTAAAGATGTATGTGCCCTGCACATTTTTCTGTAAATACAATCAGTCAAACCTTCATTTTTATCTGTATGAGTATTTTGCCTGCATGTGTATAAGTGCACCCATGTTGTACAGTGCCCACAGAGGACAGAAGAAGTTGTCAGATCCCCTGGAACTGGAGTTACTGGTCCTCTGCAACAACGGCCAGTGCTCTTAACTGCTGAGCCATCCCTCCAGCCCCCAAACTTTTTTAAATGAGCAAATGACTATTTTGACTGTTTTTGCCAATATTAGACATGGTGCAAAACAACAAACTGAGGAAAAGTAGCCAAGATACAGCCTGTGTGTAAGAATAATCTAAATAGCATTAGGAAGATGGCTCAGTGGTTAAAGAGCATGCCACTCAAGCATGAGGACCTGAATTTGGATCTCCAGAAACCCATACAAAATGCCAGTTGAGCATGGTAGCCCAGCTGTAATTCCAGCCACAGGTGACCTCCAGAGACAGGGGATCCCCAGAGCAATTTGACTAGCAAGACTAATCAACCTATCAGTCAGTTCTGGGTTTCATTGAGAGACCCTGCCTCAGTGAATAAGGTGGAAGAAAATTGAGGATGATTTTGCACATCAGTCTTGGACCTCTACATGCAAGCATGTACACACACCACAGATATGAGTGCACACATACACATGCACAGAGAAAAAAATAGAAAAACCAATAATGCAAACATTTCTAAACAAGGTGAAAATGAGATTGCTATAAGTGGGCTAGGATAGCAGAGTCATCATTTAGAAGAGAGTTAATTTTAGTATGTTCTAAATACTGGATTAAACTCAGCCTTAAAAAGAAAACTAATTGAGTCAGAAAGATGGCTGAGCCGATAATATCACTTGCCTTGTAAGCCTGATGATGTGAGTTTGATTCCTAGAACCCATGTGATGGGAGGAGAGAACCAACTCCTGAATCTATCCTCTGATCTCCACACACAATGGTACATGTATCCCCAACCCAAAATAGATAAATCAGTTTAATTTTAAAAATTAAAAATATACAGCCTGGCGTGGTGGCACACGCCTTTAATCCCAGCACTCGGGAGGCAGAGACAGGTGGATCCTCTGAGTTCGAGGCCAGCCTGGTCTACAGAGTGAGTTCCAGGCAGCTGAAGCTACAGGGAGACCCTGTCTCAAAAAGACAAAAAAAAAAAAAGTAAAACTATATCAATAATGAGTTACAAAAGAGATTATGATATTAAATATATAGAGACTGGAGAGAGAGTTCAGTGATTAAGAGCACTGGCTTCTCTTGCAAGGAACCTAGGTTTGGTTCCCAGCACCCACATGGCAGTTAACAACTGTCAGTAACTTAAGTTCTAGAGGATCTGATGCCCTCTTGGTCTCCACGAGCCAAATATGCAGGTAAAGCACTCTTACACATAGAAATCAAAATTTTAAAAATATATGATACATAAAATCTTAGTTTTTATATTTTATTCTTCTTATTATTTTTTGTTCTTTTTGAGACAGGGTCTCCCTGTAGCCCCAGCTGTCCTGGAATTCACTATGTAGACCAGGCTGGCCTTGAACTTGCAGAGATCCACCTGCCTCTGCCTCCTGAGTGCTGGGATTAAAGGCGTGCGCCACCACGCCTGGCATATTTTATGTGTATGTATGTATTGCCTGCATGAATGTAAGTGCACCCATATTGTACATTGCCTGCCGAGGTCTGAAGAAGGTGTCAGATACCCTGGAATTGGAGTTATGGACAGTTGTTAGTTGCCATGTGGGTACTGGGAACCAAACCCCGGGTCTTCTGCAAGAGCAGCCAGTGCTCTTATCCGATGAGCCATCTCTCCAACCTCCATAAAATCTTATTTAAATGTATGGGATTAAGATAAATCATTTATCATGATCAAAATGAAAAGTAGTAATGATATAGTGACTTTTTATGTCTATTAGGTATTTTAAAATTTCATGTAGGCAAGATGAAGATGCTATTCATGTAGTGGTCATTGTATAGAAATTGATATTGCTGTGGAGAGTAGAATGGTAATTGTATTAGTTCTTTTTTGTTGCTGTTATAAAACACCATGACCAAAAGTGATTTATGGAAGCAAGAATTTATTTTGGTTTCAGTTCCAGAGGGGGAGTTCATAATGGTGGGGGATGCATGGCAGCAAGTTGTTTGAGCAGGAAGCTGAGAGATCACATCTCTAATCAGACACAGAGAGCAGAGAATGAACTGGAAGTGGTGCAAGACCCACACCCACTTTCTCCAGCAAGGCTCCACATCCTAAAGGTTCCGTAACCTCCCCAAACAGCATCACCGACAGGTAACCAAGTGTTTAAATATGTGAGCCTATGGGGGACATTTTTCAAGCCACTAAGTAGAGCTGTGGGATTAAGAGCTGTGAGGGATTGGAGAGATGGCTCAGCAGTTAAAGAGCGCACATTGCTCTTGCAGAAGACCTAAATTCTGTTCCTGTCACCTACGTTAGGCTGCTTACAACCTCCTGTAACTCCAACTTCAGGAGATCTGATGCCCTCTTCTGGCTTCTGCAGGCACATGCATTCATGTGCACATATCCACACACAGAAACACACACACACACACACACACACACACAAATTATTTGGGGGAAAAAAGCTGTAATAAGGCTAAGTTTGAAAATTATGTTTGTTTTATCTTTTTTGAGAATATGTCTTGCTAGGTGACTCCAACTGGCCTGGAACTCACTATTTAGGCCAGTCCAGACTTGAATTTGCACCAGTCCTTTTCTCCTTGTGTTGCCTGAATACTGGGATTACAAGTGTGTACCACCATTCCTGACTCACCAAGGTTATTGTTTCACAAGAAATCTGACTTCTTTCTTGGCCAGTATTGTCAAATCTCTCAACAGTCTTAACATTCTCTTTATTTCAGCATTCAATGAGAGTAATCCCAAGGGTGAAGTTCTTCAGAATGATTTTAGAGAGAAGTCTTCAGATGTTGATGCAGTGGACAAACCTTGCAAAAAAGGAAGAATAAACACACCCATTCCACAGCAAAGGAAATTGAGGAGTCTTTTAGTTACCATTGAAAATGAGGATCCACTGGAGGATCTCTCAAAATATGTAGACATCAATATTACTGCACTTACTCAAGATCAGAAAACAAAAAGGTTGTATACGTGTCCCGTGTGTGGAAAACAGTTTCATGAAAGTTCTTACCTTATTTCCCACCAGAGGACTCACACTGGTGAGAAGCCCTATGACTGTAGCCACTGTGGGAAAAGATTCAATCATAAAACAAACCTCAATAAGCATGAGCGAATCCATACAGGTGAGAAACCTTATTCCTGTTCTCAGTGTGGGAAAAACTTTCGTCAGAATTCTCATCGGAGTCGCCATGAAGGAATTCATATAAGGGAGAAGATATTTAAGTGTCCAGAATGTGGGAAAACTTTCCGCCAAAATGAAGAATTTGTGCTGCACCTGCAGAGTCATGAGGTTGAGAGACCATACAGTTGCAAAAACTGTGGGAGAAGATTTGGTCGCCTGTCAAACTGTACCAGGCATGAGAGAATTCACTCAGCCTGTAAGATTCAGAAGCAGAAATGAGGTGAGGAAAGATCCTGCCTCTGCCTGAAAAGTTCCATAAAGAATTCTGGAATCTCCGGGCTGCCTAAAAAGATACTAATACATGAGAGACCTCATTAGAGCCATCTTGGCTGAAACATCAAAATTTTAGAAGTTTCCGAGGGAAAGAAACATCTTCAAGTGCTTTAATATACCTCAGTCAGCATCCAGGCCTTTTGGACTAAGAAGCTTTCTTTGTGAAGTTGTAAAATGTATAGGTTGCACAACCCCTTCCTAATGAAATATGAATGGAGTTCATGACTGTGTACCTCAAAGGTGATCAGTGACTCATCTTTTGAAATAGATCTTTTTCCCTCACAGAAATTTACACTTTTGAGAAGTAATACAGAGGTCCTTATCTCAAACTATTCCCTTGAAAGCCACATCACTGATTTTTTTTTCAACCAACATCTTCCAATAGCCATTCATGTAACCCTCTATGAATACCCTGATGAAGATTGAATGTTTAATTGTTTACTTTTCAATATAGAAAACTACAGCTCATGAGTGTCAAATATTTAACTCATTTGTATGAAATTTAGAATAATGATCAGTCCAATAACATTGGTAATTTGTGGTGAAAAGAGACTATTTTACAAAAGTCCTTTCTACAAAACCGCATGTCTGCTGTTCTTTCTGTTGATCTTTCATATGTTAGTCTCATGCCGCTATAAAAAGAAGTGTGGTTCACTCTGACTCATTGTCAAGCTCGACCTTATCGCTCTCCTGAACCAAGATCTCCCATAGAGGGAGGGAATCCCAGTGGGCTTGAAGAAGAGGGGCAGACCTGGAGGCAAGAGAAGTTGGCTTGGATCCATGGTTTGTTGATGACCTTACTTATGCTTAATTCTACTTTGTATAGCCATCAGACCTTGAGCAGTGGGATGGTTACTACCTCATAAGGTAACGTTTTTAGAAATGGTATCTCCAGAGGGTCAGTCCCATTGCCTCTCGAGACAGGATTCCAGGTATCTTTATTGAGGTGGATGCTTGATGTCCTTGGCCTTCAGTGCTCTCTGCATAGAAGCAAAGCCAATGGTGCCTTCATGAGACAATCTTGTAGTGGTGTGCTTAGGATTTTTAAGTCAGTTTTGCCTGATTCTAAGTTTCCTGAAGTTCACATTGGTTATTTTGTTTGGAATGAATGCATCTTGTACATTATTTAAGAAAATTCATTAGTGTCTCCAGATTTTGTGTCTTATCCAGAAACCTTTTTATTTGTGCAGTATTTTCCTGAATAAATGTTTCAATTTTTTTCCACTTTTTACACAGCTTTGTTACTGTATATTTTTGCCATTGTATTTTTGTAGTTGGTTATTCTTAAAAGGTTTTTTTGAGCCAGGTGTAGTGGCGCACGCCTGTAGTCCCAGCACTTGGGAGGCAGAGGCAGGCAGATCTCTGTGGGATATTATATTCTTAATTTCTGGAAATGTGGCCTGTGAACAGAAATTGCCAGAACAGTATTTGTTGGGGGCACCATGCCATTGTCACATGTGGAGAACCCACCTACACACCCAAGATGTGGCCACACAGTTACAGCAATGATAGGAGAGTCAGAGTCCCCAGCAAGAAATCCTTGTCCCATCTATGTATAGAGAAAAGTATTTTAAAGTCATTATTTAACAAATTAGAAGCCTAGTTTAATAAATATTGATTACAAAGCTTTTAAAATCAAAATTTTAAAATATTTTAATTTTATGTATACGAGTGTATTGCCTGCATGTATGTGAGTGCACCCATGTTGGGCAGTGCTACGGAGGTCAGAAGAGGGCTTCGCATTCCCCTGGAACTGGAGTTAAGGATGGTTCGTAGCTACCATGTGGGCGCTGGGAATTGAACCCAGGTCCTCTGCAAGAGCAGTCAGTGCTCTTAACCACTGAGCCATCTCTCCAGCCCCCTAAAATCAAGTATTTTTATTAGGCTTGGTTCACAGTATGTGTTTCCTCTCTTGAGCCCACACCAGTTTCCCCTTTATCCCTGGCATTCCTTGAGCTGTATTTGTTGAGATCACCAGTGATCTCCAGTTTCCTCAAATCCAACATCCCAATGTCAGTTTGTCTTGGGCCATCTCTCTTTGGTTTTTGACAACCTTTTATCATACCCTTCCTGGAACTTTTCCTATTTGGTGTACAGGACTCTACTCTCCTAGCTTCTTGCCTACTTCATTGGCATTTTAGGAGCACAGTGGAATCACCAAAATAACTTCTAAAATGGCCAGAATCTGCTTTCAGTGATTTTTAAAAACTTTTGTAAATTTAATTTTTACAATTTTCATACAATATAATTTGATGGTATTTAGATCCCTGACCTATCTGCACCTTATTGCCCCCACCCAATATAACATAACTCCATTATATATATAAAATAAGGCCTATGTAAATTTGTATCCCCAAATGCCCTTCAATGTGGGTCCATCCGCTGGAGCTTGGTTAAGCTATCAAGAGTCTCTTGCTTTGGTCCACATAATTCCAAGTAAGCTGCTGCTAGGGGGAGATCCTGTCTCAAAAAGACTACCCCCCCCCGCCAAAAAAAAAAAAAAAAGAGTCTCATGCTTGAAAGAGACTCTGCCCCTTCCAGCAGCCCTCTGTTGTCACAATTTCCTTAGGTGGGTTGGAGTTTCTTACTCCCTTCCCTGTCCTGGGATTTTGTGTGGCCTGAGCTGTCATGGGACTTGTGCATGCTGTCATCATTGATGTTAGTTCATATGAGTAACTGACCAGCTGTCTGGAAAACTGTTTCCTTATGGTCATCCACTACCTCTGGCTCTTACAGTCTTTCTGCCTCCTCTTTTGCAATATCCCTGAACCTTGGGAGGCAGAAGTTTGATATAGATGTCCTTTTCAGAGATAAGGACTCTGAAGCCTCTTGTTCTCTGCACATTGGCCAGTTGTGGGTTTCTGGGTTGATTACTATCTGTTGCATATGAAAACTTCTGGTGAGAGTTGAGAAATGCATTCATCCTGACAAAACAAGGTGCACGCAAGATCCTGAATGGGATAGAATCCCTCTCAGTGATTGATCTTAATTTCATGGTACCACATGCTTTCTATACCCTTAACATTTATGCCACTTCCTGACAACAGCAGAATTCACATTCTTCTCAAACTTCCACGGAACATTTAAAGTATTTTTATGTGTATGAGGATATTGCCTGCATGGATGTAAGTGCACCCATGTCGTGCAGTGCCCATGGATGTCAGAGGAGGGTGTCAAACCTCCTGGAACTGAACAGTTGTTAGCCACCATGTGGGTGCTGGAATTTAAACCTGGGTCTTCTGCAAGAACAGCCAATGCTGTTAACCATTGAGCCATCTCATTAGCTTCCCATGGAACATTTAAGATTGACCATACTCTGAGCCGTAAAACATCTGATTTTTAAAAATGGAAGTCACACAAAATATACTCTCATCACAATAGAATTAAACTGAAAATAAGAGGGAAATCCCCAAAGTTTTGGAGATTAAACACTTTTCCAAATGAGTCAAAGAAAATAAAGCCATGAGAAATTTTAAGACATTGCAAAAAAAAAAAAAATTGCAAATGAAATTCAGCTTACTAAAGCTTGTGAGACGCAGCAAAAGTGACGTGAATCTGTGCTATGGAATACACATGAGAAAAGAAGAGAGTCCAAGGTAAAAGTCTAGTAGCTTCTCATTCCTCTAACAAAATACTTAAGGTGATTAGAAGGAGGAAACGTTTATTTGATTTTGTTTTAGTGTTCTCAGTCCATGATTGCTTGACCCTGTTGCTTTAGGCCTGTGGCAGCATCATACATCAGGGTGAGAATTCACGGTGGAGGAGGTCTGTTCAACTCAAAAGTGAAGGACACGGGAAGGAGCTGACAGTCCAACATCCCCTTCAAGGGTCTTCCTACTACCTGACTTCTGTGCACTAAGCCTCAACCCCTAAAGGTTCCATCACTTCCAGTAGCACGACAGACAAGCAATCAAGCTTTTAACACATGAATCTTTGGGTGACATTCCAAATCCAAAATAGAGCAGTAAGCTTCCACCTTAGGAAATTGTAGAAAAAGCAAACCCAAAGTAAGCAAAGTAGAAGTAACTGAAAATAATGAAATCAGAGAAATTGAAAACAAAAGTTGCCTCTTAGAACATAACAAAATTAATAATCCTAGTCTATCCAAGAACAAAAAATAGAAAAGATACAAGTTACTATATCAGAAATCAATGAGTAAGCATTATCACTGATCTCACCAACATTAAAAGAATGATAAAGGAACCTTATGAACAACACTGTACCCATAAATTGAATAACCTAAATGAAATAGACCAGCTCTTCGAAAGACACAGCTATATCAAAACCAGGAAGAAATAATTTGAATACACACACACACATAATTGAATCAGTAATCTTCCAAAACTGCACTGGGCCTAAGAGGTTTCACTGGTTCTACAGAACATCTAAAGTGTGAGGGGTGGGGAGATTCCTGTTTCCTATAATCTGGAAAGTAGAAGCGGAGGGAAAGCTGGACAAATACATTACCAGAAAGAAAAAGTGAACAGTATTTCTAATGAACATAGATGTAAAAATCACAAGCAAATCAATTCTAATGATATTTTAAAAGAATTATATGCTGTGACCATATAAGATTTACTGTTATGCCAGGCTAGTTCAGCATTTGAAAAACTGTCACTACAATGAGCTAACAAATCATATGATCACATCATTAGACATAGAAAAGATACTTGGCAAAATCCAATAGCAATTTCTTATTTTAAAAAGATCTTCAGAGCTGGGTGTGGTGGCACACGCCTTTAATCCCAGCACTCGGGAGACAGAGACAGGTGGATCTCTGTGAATTCCAGGCCAGCCTGGTCTACATAGTTCCAGGACAGCTGGGGCTACAGGGAGACCCTGTCTCAAAAAGACCAAAAAAAAAAAAAAAAAAAAAAAAAAAAAAAAAAAAAAAAAAAGATCTTCAGCAGTAAGGATAATTAACTAGATAGATAACACATAAAGAACTTAAAACTACTGGACAGATACGGAAAATGAACCTCTAATAAATCATGGACTTAGCATAAGTGTCAGTGTTTGCTGCCAGAAAAAAAGGACAACCAGAGACGTGCCTTCATTTGAACATACCACCCTCTGATTTTGGTTTTTGGAGAGGAGAGTGTTGAGAGAGGGTCACCTTGTATAGCCTGAACTTACTTATGTAGACCTCAAAGTAGGTCTACTGCTGCCTCCCAGGTGCTGGAATTAAAGGTGTGCACCATCACACCTGGCTTTAGTTTTGTTTTAAAAATTGTACTTAAGTCTGATCAAGCCTCTAGGTCCAAATCACCATTTAAAGGAAATACAGGGTATGGTGGCGCAGTCCTGCAATTCTGGAACTGAGGAGATGGAGGCAAGAGAATTTCCATGAGTTTGAGTTTGAGACCATCCTGGGCTAGGTGGTGAGTTACTGGATTACAAAGTGAGACACTGCCAAGAGAGAAGAGAAAGGCAGACAAAGGAGGAAGAACAGAAATACAGGGCAGAGGAACATTTTAAATAACATGATGGCAATGCACTTATCAAAATCTAGGCTGTGGGAGACTGTAGTACAGACCCCTCAATTTTTGGGCCTGGGGTGCAGCTTGAGTGTATAGGACATACCTAGCATGCACCAGGTTCTGGGTCAGAGCTGCAGCATCAGTATACCGGCCATAGTGGTGCATGACTCTAATTCCAGCACTTGGGAGGTAGAAGCAGGAGGATCAGAAATTCAAGGTCATCCTCAGTACTACATAGTGAGTTTGAAGCCAGCCTGGGATACATGAGACCTTGTCTCAAACAATACCCATCACCAAATATATTGAGCAAATATATTGAAAGGATGAAATATATGGAAAAAATTTCTAGCTTAAATGATAATTTAAATGGTATTTAAGCCAATTGTGCAATGTTGAGTCCTTATTCTAAAATCTGGAGAAAAAATATTTTGACGAGATACTAGATAAACTTAAGGAATTACTATTTCACACAGCATGTTGATACTATATGAGTATGTTATGTTAGATTTATTTTTTAAACTATTTTATATGTATACGTGTATTGCCTGCATGTATGTAAATGCACCCGTGTTATGCAATGTCTGTGGAAGCCAGAAGAGGGCGTCAGATCCGCTGGAACTGGAGTTATGGGCAGTTGTTAGCTGCCATGTGGGTGCTGGGAACCAAACCTGGGCCTTTTACAAGAACAGCAAGTACTCTTAATCACTGAGCCATCTCTCTAGCCAGATTTATTTTTATTTGTGTTTATG